ACACAAGCAGGGGGAGTGGGAGAGGGAGAAGCAGGCTTCCCGCCGAGCAGGGAGCCCGATGCGGGGCTCGAACCCAGGACCCTGGGATCATGACCCCAGCCGAAGGCAGACGCCCAATGACTGAGCCACCCAGGCACCCCGGGCCCAGCAATGTCTATTTCTACACCTGCACCTGGGCCTCTCAACATCTCTGTTTCTGTCTTTCTGCAGGCTGTCCCTGAAGGTGGTCTCTTCTGCTGCCAGCAACTTGAAACAGTCCCCACAGCACTCTCTATCCCTCCCCCTGCACCAGACCTCAGTCAAGCCTGTTCTTCCCACATCCAACTAGGTCTCACTCAGGGCCCTGACTTCTCACAAACCCACCCTGGTCTCCAGCTCTCCCTTACCACCCAACACCCAGGGCTCACTTTTGGATAGGAAATAAATGCTTTATTTTTGTAGTTGTTGGCTCTGGATGTTTCTGGGGGTTGGTCTGAGAGCCCCAGGGCTTTGGAGGAGCCTACAGGGCAGTCACTCCCCACCACACCCCAGGGCCCTGTTGTTGTCTCTAGGAAGGGCAAAGGCGCCAAGCAATCCACTTGGCACCACATTCACGCCACGAGAGGCCCCAGGGATGAGGTAGAAACCTTAATGAGTCACTGTGGGCCCGTTATTCCCCGTCCTCCCCCGAACCCATCACAGCCTCAGATTCAGACACAGTATGTGAGAGGGACAGAGTCCCGGCTCAGGCCCACCTCCAGCCCATGGGACTCCCCACTGATCCTGTATAATTGATCCTGTAACTGTTGCAGGCCAGGTACAGCAGGGGCTGGGGAAAAAGCTTGTCACCAGCCAAAAACCTGCTAGGAATTCCACTCAGCCCTGTCTCCTTTGCTCTCCTAAGTCTCTCTTCCCTCTTAGCTTTCACTTCTCAGATGATCACTGCAGGGGTGCAGGGGTGGGGAGATGGGGGTTACAGATAGAAGCACCCTGGTGACCAGATGGAACTAGGTATGGGCAGTTTTATGGCAGGCTGTCCCAGACAGGTTGATTCTCCAGCTCAGGCTCCAAAGTATGATTGTTGTTAGTGGGTGTCACAGGAACAACGTCTACAGCACAGAGGGCCTGAGCTTTGATTCCATATCAGGTTTTGAGTAGTGTTCCTGGGAGTGGGAAGCCAAGGCAGAGGAAATACCGGTCTGTGTTGGGGGATGGGAGTGGGCGGAAGCAGAAGTGGTCCTAATCCCTATTGAGGGAAGGAAAAAAATAGAAATAGTCCTGATCCATATGGAGGTCAAGGTGGGGGAGGCAAACAGAAGTGGTTCTAATCTGTATTTATGGACGGGGAGAGCCAAAGCAGAAGTGGTCCGGCTCTGTTTTTGGCATCAGATACAAGAGCTGGTTCTGATTGGAGGTGGGGGATGGCAGAGGTAGAGGTGATCCTGGTGTGTCTTGGTGTCCAGCCAAAGGAGGAAGGTCCTGGCTTAGGGCTGACAAGTGGCAGGAGCTCTCCCTTTGATCTCACCCAGTAGCCTCCAGAGAACCCTTCCTATAGCACTTCCATCACCTTCTCCGTCACAGAATGTCCCCCACAGTCTGGCTCCCCGAGCTAACTTGGCCCCGAGAAAAGTGCAGACAGGAGCTTCTCCGGTTTAGCCAGTGCTCAGGACTGCGGCCTCATGTGCATATTCATTCACACCATGTTTTTCTTTTTCCAATTCTGCACACACAGCCTTCTGCCCTCTTCCAGCGCTCTGCCACCCGCCTCCCCTCGGGGCTCCTGGAACCCAAGGTGACGCGGTTGGCAGGACTGGCTTTAAAAAGTTCCCGGTCGGGCTCCGCCTCGCCGGCAGCCGGCTCCACCCTAAGTCTAAAATCCCAGGCGGCCGCCGGCTCCTCCCAGCTCTGTGAACTACAAGTCCCGCCGTCCCTCGCGCGCGCTCTCCCGCCTCGCCCGTGTCCCCCACAGGCGTCGACTGTGAGTCGGCCAAGAGTGCCTCCCATTGGTCTCTCCGCCCTGTCAGTCACCTGGGAGTATTGAGGGGCGGGTCTGAGGTGGAGATCCGGATCCGGAGCGGCTGAAAGGCGGAAGTGGAGGCCGGAGCCTGGGACACCGCCGGGGGGTAGAGGAGCTGAGCCCGTCCGAGCCCCGGCCCCAAGTAACGCCGCCGCCCAGGAGACGCCGTGAGTGTGCCTGTCCTGGGACCTAGTGTCTCGCTCGCGTTGAAGCCTCTTCGGGGCAGCACTTCCTCCCGCCCAACGCCGGCTTAGGGGGATACTGACCCCTCCCCCGACCCGTAGCCCCCACTTAAGGGGCTCCCCAGGCGTCGGGCCAAAGTGGGGGCCCTTCTTTCCTTCCCTTACCTGCCCCTTATGAGCCTTGGGAAACCCCCAGAGCTCTCCTCTGGCCTGTCCAGTCCAGTTGTGGGAGGGAGAGACCCCAAATTCTGCTCCCTCTGCTCCCAGAACTGGAGGAATCTTTCCTAGGTATGAAGGAGCTTGTCTTCCTTCTCTATAGAGGTGGCGAGGAGTGCTGTCTGTCGCTGTTTTCCGCCCCCCCCCCGCCCCCCCCCGTCCCACAAAAACAATTGTCCCCTCCAGCCCTAGAGAAATTTTAGCTCGATTTCCTGGCGGGGGGGCGGAGGGGTCCTGGGTGAGAGCCTTACAGACGCACAGGCTCCCACAGCTCCTCACTTCCTCTCTTTTCTCAAGCCGGGGAGCCAGCCAGGATCTCAGAATTTAAAGTCTGGGCCACTTTTTAGGAATGAGCTGTCTTCTCCTTGTCTTGCCCCCTCCACCCCCAACCCTGTCCTCTAGTTATGTTGTTCTCTAGTTGTGTTCTCTGGAGTGTGTCTCTCTTCCTGCCTCTGAAAAATTTAGCTGAGGTTTGCTTAATCCTAGCTACAGATCACAGATCAGGGTGGATCTGCCCATTCATTATCTTCTCTCTCCCCTCCTCTCCCCCTCCCCCTGGCTCCAGGCTCAGCCCTGTCCTCCCAGAGCACGTGAGTGGTTTTCAAGCTGCTTCAGAGGGACTGCTCTTCCTGGGACTGCTGTCTGCTGGTCTTTAGCGAGTAGGGGAAAGACCAAAAATGAGGAGTGTGCAATTGAAGGGTCCTGACATATCTCTTTCCCACTCTCAAACACACACACACACACACACACCTCCTTGATCAACAGGTCTGTGCCACTTTTACCTCGTCTCAGGGCCTCTCCAGTCCCTTCTGGGCTTGGAACAAATGGTAGATTACAGAGGAGTAAATTGAGACCACAGTGGCACCTCTGGGTTCTTAATATGTTAATTTTTGTAGCCCAAGGAATTCCCATGCATGCCAGAAAGTACTGATTCCCCCACTTCCCCCCCAGCCTTTCCAAGAGGCAGCCTGTACTGACATCTGATCCTTGTCTATTGCTTGGGACTTAGGTGTTTGAAATGGCTGTTGTCTCAGACCAGCCTCGCAGGTTTTGTTATGTGGCCAAAGTACAGGCCAGAGACTGTACCTTAATGAGAGTAGCCTGACTCTTTGAGGCCATGGCTGACCCTTGCTATCTACAGCCGAGGGAGGGAGGAAAGACCATGCAGTCTTTGGGAATTTCTGTAGCTCTTCAGTGTTCTGGGCCATCTTTACAGCCCTTACAGGTGCTAAACATTTTTTGTCTTGGGACCTTTTTGACTTCTTCTGGACAGTCACCAGTGTCTGACACCTACAAACTTTTTTTTTTTTAATAATTTTTTTATTGTTTATTAACCACCATACAATACAACATTACTTTTTGGTTTTTTTTTTTTTTAAGATTTTATTTATTTATTTGACACAGAGAGAGAGAGACAGCGAGAGAGGGAACACAAGCAGGGGGAGTGGGAGAGGGAGAAGCAGGCTTCCTGCCAAGCAGGGAGCCCGATGTGGGGCTCGATCCCAGGACCCTGGGATCATGACCTGAGCCGAAGGCAGACGCTTAA